GATATTAGTTTACGGAGTCAGGCAGGTCTTCAAAATGTTGACTCATTTCATTAACCAGTATCAAAAATCAGTTATTACCACCAACCAGGTTCAGGACACGCTACCCCAAAATATGGCAACTTGCCATATTGAATATTTCAAGTTGAAAAAAATGTGAGAAATGGCATGTGAAGGAAGGACTTTTTATTGTTAGCTCCGCTTGTGACCTGGTTGCTTCTCAGTAAACAGTGAACACAGTGTTCAACAGCCACCATTAGAACAAACATATATTTGATCTGTTCTTATGATTTCTTCCATCTTCAGGAAGGACTTTCTGACCTTCCCCTGAAGCAGGTCATAAAACCCTCACGTGGGAGGGGCCCTCCCTGTACCAGGAGGAAAGGAGTGTCTCTGAACAGGAAGGGACAGAGAGGAATCTGAACAAACAGGTCTTGGCTAAGTTTGCCAGTTTACTACGCTCAGCTCACCTTTATCACATCTTCCCAGCACTTTCCACTCTACAGCAAACCTAGCATAAAAGCCCTCAGGTTCAACTGTTTCTTCAAGTTTTCATTTATTTCCCTATGAAGACTCCTGTGTCATGCAAACCTTGTATTAAATAAATCTGTATGCTTTTCTCTTGTTAACCTGTCTTTTGTTACAGGGGCTCCAATTAAGCACTTAAAAGAACAAAGGAAAAAGATATTTTTACTTTCTTTCATCACTAATCTCAGTCTATTTTTATGAATTGAGATGCCCTCAAGCTCACAGTGGTGGATACTGTCTTAGAAAATTCTAACTTTAGTTTGAAAACTTAAATTTTATCATTAGCAACAAATTCTAGCAGTTGTATTTGAAGTAATAAGCTCACCCTTTTCTTTTGAGGACAATGTCTGCCATAGTTTGTCATTCTTTTTTTGTTTTTAAGATTTTTATTGGGGAATTGGGGGATGGGAACAGCGCTGGGGAGTTGGGGGAAGGAGAACAGACAAGTTGCTGTCATTTTGTTCTTCAGTCTAGTTGTGGAGGACGTTGCTTCACTGGCCCAAGTTGGCACCATCATTGCGCTCTTCCTAGGCGAGGCAGATCAGTCGCCGGCTTCTGGACGGCCGCTCACTGCAGCTGCTGGCCGCTCACGCTGGCTGCTGGCTACACACGGTAGCCCATGGCAACCCACTGCAGCAGGGGCTGCAGCCTACGCTGCTGCGGGTGACTCATGACAGCCCAGCTCCAGGTTGAGCTGTTGTTCAGTATCTTAGCTGTAGAGGGCAGTGTCACTGGCCCTCATATGTGGGATCCGAACCGGGGTCCTCTGGCGTCCCAAGCGAGTTCTTAACCAACGCGCCACTCGGGCGGCCCTGTCAGTCATTCTTTTAAGTAAAAATGATGTTCCATAAGTGGCTAGTTTAGCTCACAAATCAATCCTACAAATGCTTTCGTGCAGAGAAATATTGTATTTCAGCATGCAGCAAAAGTACTTTATTAGCATATTAGTATCAAAACAGAATTATTAAAGACATGTATCATAGAGCCTCAAGGCATGTTGAAAAGTGCTGATATATAGCAATTTCTCCATGTGTCTCTCTCAATGTTGGCAACTTTAGGTCCAGAGCTCTCTTAAAAACCCAGAGGTTAAGGAGGTTCATGCAAATCATTTTTTTTAGGCTCGGAAGCCCAATAGATAAGTTAGTTTGTATATTGTGGGTAGGGTTGAACCATCTCCAACTTTGAAAAGCTCTATTTGCACATTTCTCTGGTATTTCTCAAGTATATAAATACTGTATTTAAAAAAAAATCAGGATTAAGTCTTGGTCAATTCTTGAAATCTTCATAAATGGAGAACTTCCAGTTGCTTAGCTCCATGTTTAAAAAAAAACATAGTCCTTATAATCTGTAAGTTTTATATTATATCTTTTCCGCCATGGCCAGTAATGAATTGCATAAGGAAATAGTCTACTTATAGTATTAGTTATCTCTGATCCAATAAAATTTTATTCACCAAAATGGGCAACGAGGTGGATTTGGCTCCAGGTTGTAGTTTGCCAATCCTACAGTAGACAATGCTATCTCACTCACCTTGACCTTCATTACAGATGGAAACTCCACGACAGTACTGCATACTTGATATATATTTTTTGAGATGTCTGCTAAACAGAAAACAGAAAAATGCGAACACCTGGATGTTTTGGGTATGTGCTATAGCCCAGCAGCTTAAATGATCATTTCTGGCAAGGCTAGCTGGAGATAAGTGGTATTATCGTCCTGTTTTCATGTCTCCTGTTGAATGTTCTTAGCAGTGCTGTTACTATATTTCCTCCACTTGATAGCATCATTGGTGAAACCGGTATGAACTGACCTCAAATTGGTTAACTTCACACAACATATTTTAGATATTCCATTTTAAGAAGTGAGAGGGGTAGAATGCTAAAAGACACAGGTGGATCACATTGGTTAATCTAGATTAAGTGATAAGAAAGCAAATAACTGTAGGATCAGAATTACCTGCTTACCCCTCAAACAGGGGTTATTTAAAAGTTAAATGACATCTCCCTGATTTACTTTCAAGTGTGTTCCTAGCAGTTAGGGCTACTTAATGGACCACTTTGTGCAATGCTGTAAACCCTCAAGAGCTCTGTTTTCTTGGAACATCCCTTCCAAAATGTTTTGCTCAGAAAATACTGCTCTACTCAATAGAGATGACTATTACACTTGAATGAACCCCACACAACATAATAATGTTAGTTTTCACAAAGGAATATAGGAGAAAAATGTATTTTCTTAACAGAAATAAAATCCTTGGGACAGAGTAATTAGCTATCTATAAACGCCCATCTGCCACAGCAGGAAGGGGCATTGTATTTATCATTGTCAAGGGCTATGAAGTACTTATTTTTCACAGCAGTTCAACGGCTGAAATTCCAATCAAAGAGCTCATATTTGGACTCTCATATTCTCATAAAATGTTCAGGTACATAAATTAGAATGTTCCAGCCTGGGAAGGCAAACTGAAAGAACAGATCCATTAACTATGGTTGAGCTAGTTATAAACAGGAGAAGAAAATCATAAGAGCCACTGGATAAAAAAATCCCATGAAAATCGAGAGAGTTTTGAAGAGAATTTTTGAGAAGTACTTTTTAAAATAGCACATATTTATGTTATTCACTTACAAGATAGAAAACAAAAAAGTTAGATGGTTCTTGGTTACTTTAAAAATCCATGAAATCTTATGGGCTTCTTTTGTTTATGGCCCCATCTTACTCGTTTGTACATGAAGCCATCCCAGGAAAAATTTCAAGTACTTTGAGCTGTATTATCAGCACATTTCCAGTAATGGTCTGAATTCAAATCCATGATGAAAACAAGCTGGCTGATTTAACATAATGAAAACAGAAATCATGCTTATGAAGATAAACTCGGAGACTATGGTCTAGAGCACCATCATTAGAAGGGGTTAATCCTCTCATTGCTAGTCCAGTTCTCTCATAAAGACCAAAACACAATTTATTTTTGACACAATTTTTGCTACATTAAATATTAATTTCTGCTGTAATCTTCTCACTCATTCATGTTCTAGGTTAGTATTTGATGAGGTTGACAATTCTCAAACTGATCTAATGTAAATGTCAAATATTCTTTTGGGAGGGGTGGATCCTTGACTGTATGATGATGATGACACGATCACCCAGCCCTGATTGTTTTCTATGTGCCAACTACTGAGTCAAGTAGCTAAAATGTATTCACTCATGAATTGGCACATTCCTGGAGGGAGAGCGAGGTTAAGGAATGTGACTAATATCAGGCTCATACAGCAAGAGCTGGCGCCAAGGCTTCAACCTAGACACTGACTCCAGACTCATGCTTCTCACTACTAGGCTCTGGTGCCTTGTGTGAGTTTTGTTTTGAAAAAGAACCAGTGGTTGAACTGAAAAGAAGCATGTGACCCACTTTTCTTCTTAAAAATTATTCCTTTAAGATTTGTTTTATCAACATCAAAACAACAGCAGCAGCAACCAAACAACCTACAAACAATCCAATTAGAAAATGGGTAGAAGACCGGAACAGGCATTTCTCCAAAGACGACATACAGATGGCCAATAGACGTATGAAAAGATACTCAACATCAGTAATCGTCACTAAATGCAAATCAAAACCACAATAAGATACCACTTCACACCTGTCAGAATGGCTATTATCAAAAAGTCAACAAATGACAAGTGTTGGTGAGGATGTGGAGAAAAGGGAACACTCTTGCACTGTTGGTGGGATTATAAACTGGCGCAGCCACTATGGAAAACAGTATGGACGTTCCTCAAAAAATTAAAAATAGAACTACCATAGGACCTAGAATTCCACTTCTGGGTATTTATCAAGAGAAAATGAAAACACTAATTTGAAAAGATGTATTTACCCCTATGTTCACTGCAGCATTATTTACAATACTGAAGATATGTGTCCATCTGATAAACAGAGAAATAAGATGTGGTATATATACACAACGGAATATTACCCAGAAATTAAACAAAGAAACCCCAAAATCTTACCATTTGTGACAACATGGATGGACCTAGAGAGTGTTGTGCTAAATGAAGTAAGTCAGATAAAGACAAACACCATATGATTTCACTTATATGTGTAATCTAAAAAAACAAAAGGAACAAACAAAACACAGACTCATAGATACAGAGAACTGATGGTTGCCAGAGGGAAGGGAGGTTGGGGAGCTGGGTGAAGAAGGGGAATAAGAGGTACAAACTTCCAGTTATAAAAAAAATAAGCCACAGGAAGGTAGCATACAGCACAGGGAATATAGTCAACAATATCCTAATAATATTTTATGGTGACAAGTGGCTACTAGACTTGTGGTGATCATATCGTAAGGTATATAAATGTCGAATCACTATGTTGTACACCTGAAACTAATGTAATATTTTAATTAAAAAATTAAAAAAAATACTTGTTTTAAGTGCTTCTGATTTTATAAAAGGCCTTAATATTTTAAATCGTTATTTTATAATGAGAATGGTTGTTGTATACATTTTATTAAATGTTTTCTATTCTACATTTCAAACTGAGTCAATAATTGTAAATGACACAACTGTATAGTGATATAAGTATATTAACAGTTACATGTTTAACTTTGCACATAAATCTAGTTTGAAAAAGGTATTATATTAGTAAATAAGTACATATTTATTTCAATCTTTAAAAACTTTTATGAAGCCTAAGATAAATATATTGAAATTACACTTCCTGGGCAACACTAGAAAACTAAATGGTTAAAGAATAATTGTGAAGAGGGAGGAAGCTACAAAAGCTAGGTAACTACAGGATAATCAACTAAGCTGTCTTCAAATGTGAACTATGTGATACTCTTTTTCATATTTTAGTCCCTTACACTAGGGTCTTTATTATATGTCGCAATATTCTAACAAATAACACAATTAAAAACTACTACTCCTCAGAGGGGAAATCTGCAATAAAATGTGTAACGCCTTTTGTATAGTTACTAGCTTAATAAAACATTATCGAAACAACTAATCAATTACTAGTGTTTAAAATTTATAGTAGGAAACTTACCAAAACCAAAAGGCTATTTCTGTTTTAAATTTAGGCCAATTGAAATAATTTTCAATATCGCTAAACTCAGTGCAGGGGCTACATTTGGTTAAATCTCACTGACCAGGCTTCTAAGAATGTGCTTATGTAGGTGGACACTAGGATCCGTGGATTCCACTCCTTAGCTGCGTGACATCGGATTCCTATCACGATTCTATTGAGGAGACTCATTAGGAAAGGATCATCATCTGAGCTCCCATTTAAGCCCCTACCCCTACCCCCTACCCATCCCAACTCCACAATAAAAACTGTTAGTTGTGCTGCTGTTGCTTTTTCACTGGAGACCGTAAGTTTGAGTTGAATTATTCAATGTGAGGGTCACAATGAGAGAACGTGGATCTTTCTTATTCTTGTGGACTGTGATCTTTCCTTTCAAGGCTTCACCTATAAAAGAAAGGCAAAAAAAAACGTGTTTAAGAATTCAAGGAAAACAGTCTAACAGAAAAGTAAATACTGTATACCTAGTACCTCTCTTTTTTGTTGTGAGATGTTTCACTAATTTAAAAAAATTTTTAACTGTCAAATCCTTGCAAAAGAATAAGCAGTGGTCATGCAGGGTTGAGGAGTTTTATTGGACCCTGAATATGAGTTCCTAGGCATACATAAAAATACAAGACATGGTTCCTGCCCTCCCAGAGTTCACATGGGGTCAAGGGTGAACAGAAATAGCTACAACAGGTATATGTGTAAAGTGTGCTGAAGTTGAGGATTAGGAATGGTTGCAAGGCAATACAAGGCAACGTTTTACAAGAATTAAGGAATGAATTATCTGAGGACTAAAATCACGGTTAACTTAAGGAGTGCACATGGAATGGAATTTAAGGGGAAAAAACATGTTATAGACAGTCTTTAAGGAATGACATTTTTAGAAACTGAAAATTACAGTTGAGGATACTTAAATTTATATTTTATAGAGGCACATGAAAAGCTGTTGGCCTTGAAGGTATTAACACTGTAACTGAAAACCAGAATTTACACAAGTGAAACAATGAACACAAAAAATATTACATATTCTTTTAAAGGCAAAAACTGATTCCCTAAAAACTTGTATGCTCCAAATTTTATTTTACTCCAAAACGGAATTATATCTATGCACTTTTCTGAATGCAAATACTTCTAAGTTTTTTAAAAAATTTATTTACCAAGAGTCATTTAAAAATAATAAAAGAGGGGCCGGCCAAGTGACTCAGTTGGTTAAGAGCGCGAGCTCTGAGCAACAGGGTCGCTGGTTCGATTCCCACATGGGCCAGTGAGCTGCTGCACCTGAGCTGAGCTGCTGCTGAGCTGCCAATGGGCGGCAGGATGGCTCAGCTGGTGAGAGCATGTGCTCCTAACAAGGTTCCGGTTCGACTCCGGCATGAGATGGTGGGCTAAGCCCACCCGCAACTAAGATTGAACACGGCACCTTGAGCTTTGCACTGCGAACCGCTGATGGGAGGCCAGATGGTGACTGGACTTGGAGTCAATGGAATTGTGATAGATATCTATGATATCGGGGGAGGAGCAGTTGATTGGGGGAGGGGGCGGTCACTTTGTGAGGGGAAAAGTATAGCTGTTGCATTGTTTTGTATACCTAAAACTAAAAAAAAAACCAAAAAAAAGACTCCATGTGTCTGTCTCTCACCTCGATCAAAGTTTCTTTTATTCCAGGAAAAAAGAAAAAAAAACAATAAAAACAACTTTGTCATTTAGATAAACAACCACCAGAATTTGAGTGTTTTGATTTGCATTTCAGTGGTTATCAGTGGTGATGGGTATTATTTTGAATGTTTAACCATCTTAAAAAAAATCTTTTGTACCATTTACCTTAGATTTTCTCGTTTGATGTAGTGCTGCAAATATTTCTTTCTGGTGTGTGTACCTTAATGGTTGCGGCTCTTTAAGTTGACTTAAAGTGTTTAAAAAATGTTAAGTTTTTTATATAAACATTCTATTCAATCCTTAATGTAAGGGTTACAATAGGAAGGTTCCATGGTGCTTCTAAAGCAGGCTATCAAATTCTTAATTTCAGGTATCAAGGATATGCAAACAAGAGCTCTATATAGCCCAAGTCAAGATGAACTAGTAATGGATACTTTTGTTAAATTTTCATATGAAAAAATATTTAACCATTAATATTAAACAAACATCTCAATTAAAAAGTCATAACATTGCCTATAAGCTTGTATTATAATTTTCATGTCTTAAAATGGAATATAAGTAAAATAACTATTTCTTTAATAACCTTAATTCCAAAATGAGAGTGCAAACAGCACCTATTTAAGTTAATTAAATAACACAAAGGGTCACAGTGATAAATACATAATTCACACTGCTGAACTCCCTTCAATTGTTCAAGCCTGACTAAAGTGCCAAGGCAGTGGCTATAATACCAGAATAGATCGAAGTAATTAATCAGTGTCAAATAGATATAAAATGACTAATGTTGTTAAATGTGTATACTGTGGTGAAAGCTGCGAAGGACATTCTCTATGGAGCTGAGCTGTATTGCCTCGTTTTAATCATCAGCAGATGGCTATTAGTACACCACAAAGCAGTGTTACAGTTCAATCAAGAGTAAAATTCATTTCAATTCTGTTTTAGTGGTTTTTTAAAATTAATTTCTTCCAGAGCAATGAAATTTCATTTCCCCAGAAGGGGGTAAAATAATTAAAAAAAAATCATTATCATTATTAAAGCTCAGAATTTTAAAAAAAGGAAAAAAAAGAAAAGAAATGGATTCTTCATATAAAAGCTTACTGGGTATATATAGGGAAGGAGAAATAAGTAGCTTGGTTTTAATCATATTTTCAAAGCCAAGTCACATAAAAATAATCTGGATTTTTAAAGCAAACATTGCCATATAAGTTTGTACAATTATACATTATTTTTAGAGGAAAAAGAAAAAATACACCCTGATTTTAAAATTAAAGCAAGTGTTGTCTAACACCTTTAAAAGTATTCATTCCACAATGCTGGAAGTGCTCAAATGTTTAGAACAGTTCTTTTGGAACTATTTCTAGAACTACATTGTGAATAAAATAACAAACAAAACAAAACAAAAACAAACTAGGCTCATTTTAAGTTCCATTTTGCTTTCCGCCAAATGTAGAAATCTTATTCTGAGGAATGCCTTATTCACACTGTCTTTTCCTGCTTTCTAAATATCTAGTCTACTCCCCAAGGGTAGATTTACCATTACCAAAAAAAAAATAAAAAAAGATTAACCATCACTGATGACTCTCTCTCTCCACACAATCTAGACAGAATAACTGCATAGGTATGTTTATAATATTTCACTTATTAAAAAAATCCTGTCATATTACTTTCTGGACACTAAAACATGCTTGACATACACAGCAAATTGTTCTGATTAGACTCTTGGCTTTATTTAATTTTATCTAAAAATGCTATATATAGTATATTGAGCCAAAACTCAGTTTTAGTTTAACTAAACCCAACTATAAAGAACTCTGTTCAGCATGCCAAAATAAATTTGAACACCAACCTGCTCAAGTATACTAGTATGATGAAATTTCTGAGAAAATCAAAGTTGACAAAATGGGCCAACCAAGTAAAACAGTTAGATGAATGCCTTTGGCATGGTGTCACTCAAGGTGATAAGAAGAAATTATATTTCAAGGACAATGCATATTACTCTACTTATTTGTTTGTTCAGCAGAATATTTACAATATGGCAAATACTATTTTTGTATCTGCCAGACCAAAAACGAGTGAGGGTTCTATTGAAACCCTTTATCACACTATGCTGGGATATTACAACACAAAACTATGTATGAATTGATCTGGGAGAACAAAGAAGGGAGCAATTAACAGGACAATGAGGAAAGAGTTACAGAAATAAGCTGGGTCATAAAGGTAAAACTGGAATTAATCAAGTGAAAGAGGTCAAAACAGTAAGAACTTCTTAGACAAAGGCAAGGAGGAAGACAAGACAGGAAAGTTAGCTAAAAAATGAGTTGAAGCATATGGTGGACTTGTGTGGGTGGCATTACAAATGAAAGAAAATGATCAGATTGTAAAGGGCCATTTTAAGGAATATGAATTTTATCCTGGACATTATGACTGTCCAGTGAAGGGTTCTATTTTTTAAATTAACTCTATTAACACATAATTTACATACAACAAAATGTACACATTTTACCTGAGTTCAATGAGCTTTATCAATATCTCACACTCATAAACTTTTGCCTACCTCAAGTCTCAGAGATTATCTGTTATTTTATAGAAGTTTTATTTTATCTTTTAGAAGTTTTAAGCTTTTAAATTTAGGTCTATGACCCCTGTAGAGTTGGTTTGTGTATATGGTGTTAAGGAAGAATTGAGATTCATTGTTTTCCTGTACATATATTTAGTTGTTTTAGCAACGTTTCTTGAAGACTATCCTTTTCCCAACGAATCACATTGGCCCTCGGAAAAATTCAACCATACAAAAGTAGGTCTATTTCTGGTGTTTATTGTCTATTTGTTCTGTTAATCTATATGTCTGTCTATAGTATATACTGATACTACATTGGGTTAATGTAACTTTTTAATAAGTTTAGAAATCATACAGGATTCCAATATGGTTCTTTCTCATAACTGTTTGGCTACTCTATGTCTTTTGTATTTGCATATAAATTCTAGAGTCAGCCTACCTATTTCTGCCTTGCTAAATTCACTTACTAGTTCTGCAGGGGTTTATTTTGTACATTCTTTAGTTTTTAATATACACAATCATGTTATCTGTAAATAATGACAGTTTTCTTTCTTTCCAATGGCTTTTAATTTTTTGTTCCTTATTGCACTGGCTAAGACTTCCAACATAAGAGAACAGGAGTGGTGAGAATGGACATCCCTGCCTTGTCCGAAACTCAGGGGGAAAGCATTTAGTCTTTCTCCACACAGTACGATGTTTGCTGGTGACTTCAGATGGATCAGGTTGAGGAATTCTCTTTTATTTCTAGTTTGCTGTGATTATCATGAATGAATATTGGATTTTGTCAAAAGCTTTTTTTGTATCCACTGATGTAATCCCATGGTTTTTCTTTAGGCTGTTAGAATGTGGGTTACATTAAATGATTTAAAAATATTGAATAAGCCTTGCATTCCTGGAATAAACCCCATGCAAGTCATGGTGTTGTTCTCTTTATAATATTGCTGGATTCAATTTGCTAGTATTTTGTTGAGGATTTATGCATCTATACTCATGAGGGATACTGGTCTGTAGTTTAATTTTCTTATATTCTAATTTTTGGCATCAAGATAATACTGCCCTCATAAAATTAACTCTCTTTGATTTTCTGGAAGAGGCTGTATAGAACTGGTGTTATTTCTTCAAGTGGTTGAGACAATTTGCAATGGAGCAATTTGTGCCTAAAGATCTGTTTTATGGGAGGTTTCTG